CCCTCTGGCTTCCCAAGCCAGCTCTTAACCAACGCGCCATTCTGCCGGCCCATCTTTTTTTAATTTTTCTACAGACCTTAATCAAACGTTCTGCCCACACTGTAGTCAGACTTGCAACCTACTCTGACTGACTGAGGGGAATTTGGGAAGCTAAATTGGCTCTGGGCTAACTCCATTCTTGGAACAGCACAGGATGGTAGGGTTGTCTAAGGCAGTGCTTCTCAAACCATAGCATGCATTAGTGCTTCTGGGACTAGTTAAAACTCCAGGCCCACGTGTAGAGATTCTGAGTCTGTCCATCAGAGGTAGCTGTTAGGAATTTGCATTTTTAAGACACCCAGGTAGGTGATGCTGATGCTGCTGGTACGGGGACAACACTTTGAAAAGCACTGGTCTAAAGTAGGGGTCCATAAACTAGGGCCTGAGGGTCAAATTCACCTGCTTGGTTTTGTGAATAAAAATTTGGAACACAGCCAGGACCATCTGTTTATATATAGTTTGTGGCTGCTTTCACAGCAGCAGAGCTGAATGGCTGCCACGGCCACTATATGACCTAGCAAAGCCTAGCATTTTATGTCATATGGTCCTTAAACAGGAAAAAAAAAAAACAAAAGTGTTGGCTTGTTTGCCTTTCTGAAACACTTTTTATTGAATAATTATCTTGAATGTATATAGTCTATGTTTTTCCAAATGTATACAGATGCTGTTTTTATTAACAAAATACAAGTGCATTAATATCACTGACTTTTTTTCTTAGTAATTATTATTATTTTTCAGTCAGGGATGAATAACTGTAATAAATAGATGTAATTACTATTATGTGGAGATCTAAGTTAAGTTAAAAAAAATGTTAAAAAAAAAAGGGAGGTGTCCATATGCTTGAAAAAGCTTCTCTAGGACTTGCTAGTAGAGCTTTTATTCACTTTGTGAAGATGCAGGTGGCCCTGGGACTTCTTATTAAACTAGATATATTCTGGATCAGAGTGGAATCCTTATAGTAACCTTGAATCCAAGCTATCTCTTGGAGACTCTTCAGAATAGAATGACATGCGCCCTACCCTGGCAGGAATCCCTTTCTTGACCTGCTTCACACGGCCCAGGAGAGAAACATCCAGGAGGAAATAAAGGTCAGTGATACGTTACTTAAAACGACTTAAAACATTTGCATACTCAGGAACTGCCACATAATTGTACCCTGAAACCTAAAAGAAGTCTTACTCCAATAAACATGTATGTTCACCCTGGAGATGTGTGTCTTTTTGGCGTGTGGGTCACACGTGGAAGCAAAGAGACTTCGCTTTTATCATATTAACTCTTACGAAAAGCTTTCCTTAGGTATTGGTGTCAGATAGTGAGTACTGAAAATACATCCATAATTTTAGTCACATGCATTTCGTCTTATAATCAGAGATTCAAATTTTGCTTTGCAGAAAAAGTTGGCGGCCATGCCTGACCATACGGATGTTTCTCTGAGCCCAGAGGAGCGCGTCCGTGCCCTCAGAAAGCTTGGCTGTAATATCACCATCAGTGAAGATATTACTCCGCGCCGCTACTTCAGGTCCGGAGTGGAAATGGAGAGGATGGCCTCTGTGTATCTGGAAGAAGGAAACTTGGAAAATGCCTTTGTTCTTTATAATAAATTTATAACGTAAGTCTTGCGTTTTGGAGGTCTCTGAAATGAGAGAATTGGGAAAATACTTAACGTGATATCTTGGTGAGGCAGTTGGGGTGCCAGGAATGTTTTCATGTTTAGACCAAGTTTACCATCTCCAAAAACGTTCAATGTGTAGGTTTTAAAATGACCAATGACCAAGTAAATCTACTCGTAGGCATCGCCACACCCTCTGAGGCTGAGGATTGGGAAGAAGGGCAGGGAAGTGACTGGCACAGGGATGTAAGATACCCTCTGAAAAGGCCAACAGGCCAACTTGTAGGTCCCTGTCTGTAGTACTGTGTAAATAAAATGTCTTGTTTCATGCCATTCTTCCCCTACAGCAAGGTAAGCTTTATAAGAGCAGGAACCGTATTGCATCTCCATCTCCAGCTCCTGGAACATGCCACTAACATTTTTAAACTTTGATTTGGTGGGTTTGAGACTGGGGAATAAGTTGGCAGTCATAGGCAGGATCTGATTCAGGGATGGAATGTAGCAGCCAGTTTCACATTGTAGGTGTTTTTGTTTGTTTGTTTGTTTTGTTTTTAAGCAATTTATTTAGCTGTGTCATAATACTGAACTTCCAAAATGTTGAGGGAAGGCGGCTACCTCAAAACAGCCATGTGAAAATATACTTCCCATTAGATAGATATTGTTAGTAACATATCCTAGTTTAAGAGTTAGCAGAAATGGGATTTAGATTTTTCCTTGCCAGTTTGCCAGCTTACTGGTTGGGAAGGTCTGTTAACCAATAATTATTTATTCTAAGCTGAAATCCTTATTTTTATTCTAATTGAAAATCATGTGTTGATTAATTTCACTAGTTCAGTTGGGGACTCATTAACCTGAGAACATTTGAGAAGTCAATGGTTGGCAACATTTGGCGTACCTAGGAGTAGCACTTGCCTCTAGAAAGTTAAGCAATAAATATGAAATTGGAAGTTATCAATTGTCATTGATAGCATATGTTTTCCAAAAATTTTAATTTCTGAACTATTGGAAGTTAGTTACCAATTGATACGTTTCTTTTTCACCTTCTTCTCAAGTTTTGCACACAGTCCTCTGGAATCATAAGTGTAATAAAGGGGAAAGGCCATATACTCTCTGAGTTACTGAGTAAGCAGAATACTTGAATTCTCATCTGTCATTCAACCATGTGATAATCTGTAATTCACTTATCCTCCTTGGGCCTTAATTCTTATCTACAAATGAAAGACTCATGGGTGAATATCTCTGAGGTCTCTTCAGCTCTAAATGTTTATGACTTTAATTCTTAGGCAACCAAAAATTTGTGCAGCCTCTTTAAGCCTTAATTTTCTCATTTGAGAAATGAGGGTTATGGTCCCATTCCAGTGTATCCTAGAGGTGAGATGATGAACGCATGTGTGATTTATAAACAACAGAATACCAGTAATTATAAGGTATCACATATTAGTTGATCAAAACAAATATTTAGAGCCCATCACGATCTATCAAACAAGGGCTATTCATTCATTTATCAAATATTTATTAAGCATTCATTATGACCTGGGCACTATTCTGAAGGCTGGGGATACATTAGCAAGAAAAATTTATGGAAGCATTATCTTCACTTTACCTGGAAGTGATACACCTGGTTTGCTCTAGGGATTTCTCTTTATTTCTGCTGTCCCCGGTTCCTCAAAAAGATGATGAAAAATAATTAATTCCTATTTAGCACCACCTATTTCACTAGGAATTCTGGCTGTCATTTCTCTTAGTTAGGAATCTTCAGTTAAGAGGTTTGATATATACATACGGCACTACAGATTCATCAGTGGTCTTTTGAGTCTTTTTCAGTGGTGAGAAGGGATTACATTGATCTTGCCAAACTCTTAAACATTGTTTTGGTGTTTTTTGTTTTTTTTTATTGGGGAACAGTTGTGTTTTTCCAGGACCCATCAGCTCCAAATAAACTACTTGTTTCAATCTAGTTGTGGAGGGTGCAGCTCAGTGGCCCATGAGGGGATCAAACCGGCAACCGTGGTGTTATGAGCCCTGTGCTCTAACCAACTGAGCTAATCGACCGCCCTGATCTTTCCAAACTCTTATATTTTTACCTGATCCTCTGTGTTGCCCGCTGCACACATAAGTAAGATGGTGGTCTGCAGGGGATTAAGTACCCAGGACCTGAGAAAGACCAAAGCGATGTGGTCTGTTTAGGGAACCTCCTGACCCTCTTTAACTTCAGGGCTTTGTATGCTGAGCTTAGCTACCCGTAATGCCCAAATCATATTCAGTGTCAACATTTGATGGAAAGGCAGATGAAATGAGTAAAAGTTAAATAATAATTTATGAAACATCTCCTTTTTTAAAAAGGAGGCTGATTCTCATATTAGAAACCATAATTGAGCTCTTTCTGTCATATGTCTCTAAGAGCATCCTTTTTCCTTGTCTAGCTTGTTTGTAGAACAGCTTCCTGGCCATCGAGATTACCAGCAATGTGCAGTGCCCGAAAAGCAGGACATTATGCAGGTATTGTTGGGTCGATTCTCCCCTGTGGGATCAAATGCTCCACAAGTATCCATTATTGATTCACACACCCCCCCTTCCTTTCCTCCTCTGTCTCATCCTCTTGAGAGCTTAAGCACAACAGCTTCATTCCATTAGCCATGATGTTTTGATTTCTTCTTAGACTTTTAATCATCATTACTGAGCCAGTGTGGGATCTCTAATTGAAACTGGGCGGCGGAAAAAAAAAAAAAGAAATCAAGAACGTGCTCAATCACTTTAAGGCGTGAAGAAAGAATTATCTCACCATGCCTCCCAGACATTGAGAGAATGGTTATCTTTCCCCATGCTTGTTTGAGACAGTCATTTTGTCTGGTTTTGATCATTCCATGCAGTCCTGAACCCCAGAACTATTTGAAAATCACTGTTGATTATTAAGGCAGCCACAGAGTTCTAATTATTTTCTTCCTAATAGACAACATGTCTAGCGGGTAGCCCGGAATATTCTCAGATAAGCTACATAGATAGTTTCAAATAGCTTTAGCTGAAAATATATCCTCTTAAATAACATTTAAGAACTGTATTTGTCTTAAATAGTTTGAGTTGATCTTATATGTGAAGGAAGGTAAATAATATATAAAAAGCTAATCACAGCATGAAATTTTAAAAAACTCTCAAAAGATATTTTACCGTATAATGGAATAAAGACCCTCTTACCAGTTATGTCAGCCCTGAGGCTGCTTGTAAACAGAGCTCAAATTGTGTGAAATGGTCATCTACATTTTTTTGAAATTTCTGTGCACACTTATCTGAAGGGTCACTCATTTTCATGCCTTTGTGTAGCATTTCCCTCAATTCTTTTATTCACTCAACTTCAGAGAGTTCTGTTTGGAAACCAAAGGTCCCAGGCTTCCAACGTGACTCTTTTACTCTAATTTAGAGTTACTCCTAGTTTTACTTGTAGGAAAAAAATCACCGAAAGCATGTACATTTTCTTTCTTTATGCTTCTTGGGTGGGTGGATGGATGGATGGATGGATGGATAGATAGATGGATGTTGGATGGATGGATGGATGACAAAAGAGGAAGAGAATAAAAATTTTAGTGGAAGAGCATGGCTAGAGTTAGGAGCTTTTGATTCTAGTCATAACAGGACCACTAGTTAGTTCTGTGATACTGGACAAGTCTTTTAACCTCTCTAGGCCTTCGTTTCCTCATCTCTAAAAAGCGGGAGGAAGTGAGTTAGTGCTTGGAGTAGATCAGATTTCCTAGCCATTAAGAATCACTGGGAAGTTGTTTGAGATCCAGATTCCCCAACCCCTTCCCTTCTGATAAACATGTTGATTCAGTAGATCTGGGAATAGGCCTGGGAAGCTCTAGTTTTATGAATAGTGTCTCAGTACTTTTTACAGTCTGTCAAGCCTACAAGTCCCTATCTACCATGCTCTTCAGTGTCCCTTCTAACTATGATGACATATCATATACATACTGTGGAATGTGTAGTCACAAACCCACTACCTAAAAATGAGGTACCTATCTAATCAAACCGCTTACCTATCCAATGGAATCAATAAAGGTCTTACAAAGGGGATAACTTTTCCCCTTCCTTACTGACAAGTTATATTTTGGAACCCTAGAAAAGATAGATTTATTTTTCCACCATCATCTTTGGTTACTTGTGTCTTGATTTCTAATACATATACCAGCTGTTTTTCTTTCTCAGCTGATGATCTGAAAGACTATACTGAAAAATCCCACTAATCAATATGTATATATATTTTTAAAAGAAACTGAAGGAGATTGCCTTCCCAAGGACAGATGAATTGAAAAAGGACCTTTTAAAGAAATATAACGTAGAATACCAAGAATATTTGCAAAGCAAAGTAAGTTCAATTGGTACATTTATTTCATGATTGTTTTCTGTGCAGATATTTTTTGAATTTCATTTTCATATGAGTTTTCCAAATGTCATATGCATTTAAATTAAAAATTAAAGATGCAGTGATGTAACAGCAATAAAAAATTCATGTTGGTGTCCAGGTTAAGCACTTGCACCAAAGATGTGGTATTTTTATTTCCCTACAACATCTAATAAAGTGATGCCTTAGAAAAATAGATTTCCCATAGTGATTTAAATAGAGCTTTTTGACCAACTCTTGTCAATGTAACCTTGAGCCAGGTGACTGCTCTTTGCTGTTGAAAAGAGGCAGTAGGAGGTAGGGCGAACAGCATATGGTTTCTGATGTATCTGATCATGTAAGCCTTGGAAATGTGAATTTGATTCTTGAATATTACAGTCCGTATGACATGGAGATGGAATAGTAGATAACTGTATGAGTGAAATGTAGTCGTGTCACCAAAGGGTGGTGGCTTCTGGATTCTGATTTCATAGTGAAAATGATAATGATGTCTAAGACTGAAAGGCATTGAAAAAGAACTTGACCAGTCAGTCTAAAAGATACTCAAGTTCAAGTCATGAATTCTTCATGTTTACAGCAATGTTATAAAGGTGGTTTTATTTTTTATTTTTTTGTCTGAATATGTTTTCATGTGCTCTGGAAGTTGTCACATTTACGCTCACTTACGTTCACACTCATTAACTCTAAACGTGGTCACAAAACTCCACTCTCTTTGGGCATAGCCAGAAGTCAGGTTTGAGTGAGGTGTTCCAGCCAAGTGACCGAGGGAATGTTGAAATCAGAAGGCTCCCTCAAGTGTGGGTATTGATGATTTGATTTCAACTAGGAAAAATAAAAATGAGTTTGGAAGCTCAGACAAAGCAACAGCAAGGGAGAGAAAAGCCCAGTTGTCTCCCGTCCACACTCGGCAATATGTCTGGTTGTCCCCGCAGGGTCTCCCTGGGAGGAATGGCCTTGGCAGCTAGCTGTTGCACAGCTGCCTTTGGTGATACCAGTTACTTCACAGTCCACGGTAGTACCCCATGTATATGATATGTGGAAATCTCTGGGGAGATAGTTCGGCAGCCTTTGTGCCTAGGAGAGATGAAGAGACAGACCTCAAGCCCTTGCTACAGGCAGCACCAGTATGACCTGGGAGCTTGTTGGAAGTGCAGACTCTCAGGCCTCGCCCCAAACCTGCTGAATCAGAATCTGCCCTGTAAGACCCAGGGTGATCCGTGTGCTTATCCACGTGCCACAGGAAGCCATATCCCTCCCCCAACTACCGTACAGTAGCTCCCCAAATCGGGTTTTCATCAGAATCATTTGGGGAGCTTATTAAAAATGTATATTTTCTCACCTAGTAATGCCTGGATATTTTTGTTAACACTGGGGAGCTTGGGAATCTTCATTTTTAACAAAATTCCTGGTTGTTTCTGCTGGAGATGATTGGGCCACATTTTGAGAGCTGTTTCTTAGTGATCCCCCTTCTCCATAAAGTTCCAGCAGTATGAGTTCTAGAGTCAAATGAACAGGGTTCCAGTAGAACTTTCTGTGATGATGGAGATGTTCTATGTGGTATGCTCTGATATGGGAGCCCGTCGCCACATGTACTTAAAGGAGGCTAGCAGGACTGAGGAACTGAATTTCTAATTTCATTTTATTTGAATATATCTAAATTTAAATAGCCACATATGGGTAGTGGCTACTGTATTGCACAGTACCGTCTAGGATGATTATGACTATTTCTGAGATATTTTGTTCCCTGTGGTTTGGTTGGTCAGGCTGAGCCGTCCATCCTGACCTTGATTTTCTAATATTTAAAGTGCAGGGGGATGGAGGGAACTTGATTGTCATGGCCTGTCTCTGGTAACATATGAGTGGATTTAGAACTGCTGCCTGCATCAGGTTAAGGGTCTTTTGCTGGGATGTTATATATGTTCCTCCCTGTCCCCTGAGTGTCCCTGTGGGCAGATTGGGTATCTAGCTGTGTCTCTCTGTCTGCTAGAAGATTGAATGTCTAATCCCAGTTGGATGTTTTTGCCTTGGAAACTAACCTTTTCTTCTGGCAACCACATTTTTTTTAGAACAAATATAAAGCCGAAATTCTCAAAAAACTGGAGCAACAGAGATTGATAGAGGCAGAAAGGAAGCGGATCGCTCAGATGCGCCAACAGCAGCTAGAAACAGAGCAGTTTCTGTTTTTTGAAGATCAGCTCAAGAAGCAAGAATTAGCCCGAGGTCAGATGCGAAGCCAGGAAACCCCAGCGCTGTCTGAGCAGATTGATGGGAGTGCTTTGTCCTGCTTTTCCACACACCAGAACAATTCCTTGCTGAATGTATTTGCCGATCAACCTAGTAAAAGTGATGCCACTAATTACGCTAGTCATTCTCCTCCCGTCAACAGGGCCTTAAAGCCAGCTGCTACCCTAAGTGCTGTTCAGAGTAAGTGTACCAACGTGTTGCAAGATGTTGGCTCTCTTCTAATGGAACCATATTTCTGGAACAACTGGGAGGGTTCTCATTTCATAATCAATTGTGGTAGGACCCCTCCGTGATGTGTACCTGTAGACAGAGAGGGTCTTCCAGTATCATAAGGTTTTTATTCTATGTCCCTTAAAATTCAGAAAACATGATTTGCCCCCCGATAGAGCAGAGACTCTATAATAAATGAGACTGTATTAGGTCATGGTACAGAGATTTTAAACGAGAAGAATTCCAAGCATTTTTCTTTTCTTTCATGTATTTTAAACAAGAAACCCATGGATCTTAAAGGTAAACACTTACGCCAGAGAGGAAAAAAAGATGTTGAGAAACTTGTTTGTCCAGAACTTGCTCAGCAATTTGAATTTAAAGGGTTAGCATTTCCCCAGGCAAGGAGGATAGTGTACACATGGGGAGTTAACCTCCAAATGGATTCTGTACTTTTGCTAACAGTTAGTGCTGCTTGGTGCTGTCATCAGCGCTGGCATGTTTTCAAAGTCAAATGGGGAATTCTTCCCAGCAGACACTGTCAGATGGAGTTTGTGTTTCCATTTATTTTAAAGGACTTACGATAGGCAACCATTTTATAAATTTACTGCTAATTATTTCTGAAAACATTATCCTCTTATTACCAACTTTCGTAAAGATATAAGTAATATATGGGAAACACAATAAAGAATATTCATCCTGTGTCTTTTAGGATATGAGATGTGTTCTCTGCAGCCCATGCACTTAACAGTATATTTGCTTGGTACCAAAAGAAAACTCACACATACAAGTAAATCGTTGATCTAGGGCATGAAGATATGAAAGTGCTGGCATTTTGCCACTTGTTTATAAAATAATATATTTGCAAAGGGTGATTTTACCTTCCTCCTAGTCAATGTTTACTTTTAAAGACTATTAAACTAACACATGGAAAGTAGAGCACCAGATAATTTCATTTTTGATATTTATATTTACTTGCAGTTGCTTGCCAAAAACAGTTTTGAAAGATTGGATGTAAATTTGTTTTTTTAGCTCCTTCTCCCCTTTCTGTTTCTCAGATTTAGTGGTTGAAGGACTACGATGTGTAGTTTTGTCAAGAGACCTTTGCCACAAATTTCTGCTACTGGCAGAATCTAACACAGTGAGAGGAATAGAAACCTGTGGAATACTCTGTGGAAAACTGGTACGGTCTTTGTTTCATGTCTCTCTGCACAGGGTACTTTCTTTTTTTTTCTTTTTTTAAAGATTTTATTGGGAATTTGGGGGAGAGGAACAGTGTTGGGAAATTGAGAAAAGGGAACAGCCAAATTGTTGTCCTTGAATCTTAGTTGTGGAGGGCACAGCTAGCTCAGCTCCAAGTCCAGTCGCCATCCAGCCGCCCGTAGCCGCTCAGCTCAAGGTACCCTGTTCAATCTTAGTTGCGGGTAGGCGTAGCCCACTATCTTCATGTGGGAGTCTAACAGGCAACCTTGTTGTTAGGAGCACGTGCTCTCACCAGCTGAGCCATCCTGCCACCTGTTGGCAGCTCAGCAGCAGCTCAGCTTGGGCGCAGCTCACTGGCCCATGTGGGACTCGAACCGGTGACCCTGTTGCTCAGAGCTCGCGCTCTTAACCAACTGAGCCACTTGGCTGGCCCTGCACAGGATACTTTCAAAAGTAGTGATGTTCTTGTGATAAGCGGAACAGAATAAAAGCATCTTAAAAAGTGTAAATATTATGAAATTAACTTTGCATAGATTGATTTCATAAAACTGTCATTATTCATGGAATTATTTTTCTAGAAAATGGATTGTAAAATTTCAGGGATACTATAAAAGCTTGTTGTAAAGAATTAATCAAAGTATAAATTAAATCTTTGTTTAGAAAAATGGTGGATTATAGGTCTTCAGATTTCCAAAGCCATCTAGTTTCTTAAATCAAATTTTTGTTGCAATTGTTAGTTTCACATACATTCGTATAATTAACTCTACTTGCTTTTATCTGTGGCAGGTACTATCTTGCCCCCCCTTTTCCAGACACATTTGGAATAAAACTAGGGTTTTGTTGTTTTCTTTAAGGCTATAGTTTCAACAAACTAAAATCTTATATACAGCATAGGCCACATTTAAGTATGGAAGGTTTTATCCAAAATGTTTGATGAAAGACAATGCCAAAGTAGAAGGAAACAAGAAAGGAGATACGTTTAATTTCCCACGTGCAAGAAAAATAATGTTTCTTTGGAAGTTCCCTTTCAGAGTCTCTTTTGGGTATTAGTCTATATTTTTGGGTCCAGGCACATCTTCAGTACTAAACATTTAGCTTGGGAGCTGTTGTTTATTTGAATATATAATATGATTCATTACACACACATCCTCCTGCTGTACTCCAGTGTTGCATCATCACTTTTCCTGCAGGAGAGAGGAAGTACAGATGACAAGCACAGGAGAATGACCTGCCGTCCCCTCTCCACAGCCACCTTATTTATTCAGGGGGCAGTGTGCAATGGATGCTTCCTCCCAAGGACCACATGTTGTCCTTAGTTCCCTCCCTCCCTCCCTTTCTCCCTCCCTCCCTCCCTTCCTTCATCAGACAAACATTT